ATGGCTTTTCTTTTATCTCTATGAACGGTAAGTGATATTAATGCCCAATTATCTAGTTCTTGAACTCAAAGATCATTTGCATATGAAAACATTAATGTTTTCCTAATTTTTAAAATGTACGTTATCTCATTTCCATTTTAAATCCCCATTTTTATGTAATCAAAGAGGTAAGTAATAAAGTCGGAGTCAGAAACTAAATGTATATTAGCCTACCTAATGAGACAGGCATTTGTAAGGTAAGATAGATACATTTTAATTGACCTAAATCGCAAAGATATGTAATTATTTGACTAATTAATCTATTTCTAAACAAGGGCTGAAAAAGTAAAATGACTTGTACCGAATAGAAATAGGACTTGAATATCAATTTACCCCTGAATATCAATTTACAGAGCTCTGTTTCAGGCTCTAGTTCTGCCCAGTGAAGCTAATAGGAAGTTAATCCATGACTACATATATTTCATATACATCCAAATGAAGGTGCCTTGAAATATTCATGTTTACACTGATTGTGTACCCATGTTAGGAATCAATCCGTGCATAAAATACATACATGCTGTATTATAGAAAAACTACCCCAGCTTTTTCTTCAAAAAGTATTGTGTATTGTTACTTCCTTAAATAGATACTGGGAAAACTTATTAAAACACACCGATAAAATGCTTTCAGAAGATGAAGTTGTAAATATAATGTAAATGCTAATGCGTATTTTTAACACCAGGACTTACCTAATCAACAAGACATTTTTAAACAGCACGGAAATAGGCTCTTGGACAACGACACTATACTGTAACAAGGCTGGGTCTGTTAAATAGTACATCAGTGTAGAAATAAGAAGAAACTTGACAGCAATTGCAATTTTTTAAATGAAGAAGTAGGCAGGCAATATTAAATAAGTCTTTCTGGAAACCCACATATACTCCTAATTAAACACCGAAGTTTTCCTCTTCTGGATCCTTGCTCATCCCCTTCACCTTGTGTGTACTCTCATTCTTTTGTGGTTAATCCCAGTTTTTGGCGGGGGGAAAGGGACGCCTTTACAGCTGTTTCTAAGAGGATGCAGTCCATGAGGATACCTCCCTTAAGCCGGTGCTCCTTCACATGCAGTTACTCGGTAGCAAAATATACTCTCTCTCTCTTTGATTTCTGTCTCAGTCCCAAAACACTCATGCTTCACTTTAAGCATGTGCTTGTGATCTGTGGCTTGGGACCTTACAACCTGATCCTGCAATATGCTTCAGTGCTGGGGTGGAAGTGGGGAGGGAATGACCCGAGCACTGACTGCATTTGTCTTTTAGTTTTCATTTCATGAATTCCTTTCCAGATTGCATCAATAAAAACTGCTTTTACTTAAGACACCTGGAAATGAGTGTTGGTTCTGGTAACTGAGGGACCACAAGAGGCAGGCCCCTAGAAAAACCACAGATCTCAGCTACGGTCTTAGAACTGACCTCAGCGCCATCCTAGGACTAGGCTGTGTTGGTGGAACAAAACCTTCCTTTGTTTCAAAGCTTCACGTCTGAGCTTATGCCTTTACTAATGCTACAGAGTTAAATAATATTAGCATTATTGAAATAAAAATATGTGTTACACCTCTAAATCGTTGATCGTTAAGAGTACAACACTGAGACAAACTAGGGAAAAGGGAACCCAGCAACAGCTCTCCTTCCATGTTCCTTGACTCAAAGGTGAGGTCCCAAACAGATATTAACTCTTTTGTTTATTGTCCGGAAAAATATCCAGATCCCGAATCCACTACCTGATCCAACGGTAGACCCTACACAACCTCCCAGAGAGCACCGGCAGAATTAGCAGTTCTCCTTAAGCACTCTCTCCAAGTGAAAGTTTAAGTGAAACAAAAAATCTGTCCACAATAAAACAACTATAAAAGTCAAAAAGCAAATTATTACAATCTCAAATTGGCATTGCATTCTATTCTAAGTCATGAATCCAGCCACAGCTAAAAGTTTTATAGGAATATTTTAGTGTACTGGACAATGTTCATCCAAAAACATGACTTCCTTTCTTTCTTTTCCTGGCATAAATCCTGTTTTTTTCATTTATTTCCTATAATCCTTCCAATTTCCACAAAGGACACAAGACAGATATAAAATGTTATAAATACGCATCAGTTAATGTTTGGTGTCTTATCATTTATATCGCATTTCTAAAAGGTTTTTGCACTTGACCAGTAGGAGTTTTAAAGCCTTTATATGGAAACAGAGCGCTTGGGATTATTTTTGGCACGTTTCATGTTTTCAGGCAAAAGTGAGAAACCACAGACTTGGACAGGGTGCAAAGAGTCAAAATGCACGTGGGAAGTTAGTTCTTTCTATCTCTGAGAAAAGTGTTGGGTGGGAAGCAGTTTTCTTGTTCTGTGAAAGTTTAGGAGATTTCAAAATGTTTCCCCATTTTACGTTGCGATGAAACTAAGCCCTTTCAAACTGTGAAGGCAAAATAAATCATCTCTCATATGTCTTTGATGAGAAAGTACATCATGGAACCACGGGACTTTCCTAATGAAGAGTTTTTTAAAAACATATTTCCACGAAAAGTTTCTGTTTTGCTGCATCTGCGTTCTTTAATGAAAAATGGTGTTACCGTAAAGTTCCCAACAGCCTCTAATTGCAACTGCTTTTTTTACTGTGTGAAATAAATGCAAGCATCTTTTATTTATATGCTAGCGCAGTATGCGAGCCAACCCACTGCCTTGCATTATCAAGGTATCCCAGAGACCTTTGAAACATGAAGATCGGCAGTGCAGTGACTGTACAAGCAAAGGTTTGTCACTCAGCCACTGTGGGGCAACTCCCAAAGATTCGACAAGTCAGTGTACCCATGTTGTAGAAACATGGCATCCTAGGACCGAGGAAACTGCCACTCTGTGAACAGTTAGAGTGGCACAAAGGAGACACAGATTGACATAATTGGCCTTTCCCTGCCTAGGGCATCACCTTGAGTACAGTAGAGTCAGCCCCAGGCTAGGAGACATTCCTGCAGGTACAAAATTCCTGCAGGAACAAAAGATGCAGCTAACCACCGTGCTAAGGCTCTCTGTCCCGGCTGCTGAAGCAGCCCTTTGGGGATGTGGGAACACCAGGGAGCACCATCCTCTATGAGCCAGTGCCTGCTTGCAGAGGAGGCCATAAGCTGGCAGAGCAGACCCCTGGGGACAGCAGACAGAAAGCAGGAATATGGATCAAAGGTTAATAAACAGGGAGGACATAGAGGCAATGAATCTGGATTTCATAGCACTCCATGTGTGGCAACACCTTTTGGGAGAGAAGTGCTTAATCAGCTCCCTTTTTGGCTGTCTTGACCACATGTTTGTCTACATCCACTTTCCAACCCCTTACACCATCTCCTCTGCAAGCAGAAACTCAGCTGCTTTGTGTTGGCTCAGCATTTACTCTAGTGATGGGTCTAACCCGCTGTCTATACTGAAGCAACAAGTCAAGCGTGCTTCTGCAAGTCAGGCTATTGAAGCTAAGTGCACCTGAGCTGTGCTAGATCTGTTCCCAACACGCCTGCCTTGCTCAACAACCAGCAGGTCCCTCACATTTTAAAATGCTCTTTCTAATCAGAGAGATCTACCCAGCATCTTGCAGCTGCCCAGATTTGCCTTGTGGGCGGCTAGCTGTTCACGAATGAGACAGTTAGCAGAAATCGAATGTCCTCCTTCTTGGTGATCCTCTCCAAAATGGTAAAGGAATGATGGGAAGTGGGTAAGTATCCTGGAGCTGTCTGACATACGTGCAGGAGGAGGCAGGCTCCCTGTTTCCAAATGCCCTGGGCTTACTGCTCTGTCCGCATTAGTTATCCTCCCCGACTGACACAAGCTTTCCAGGGGCCGTGTTTGTAAAATGGAGCACAGACTCTAACGTATAATGCTCTGTTCTGTCAGCTTGAAGACACTTAAAATGCAGGATTGCCAAATTTCGTTTTCTCGGTTTCACGCATCTCAGATCACGTTTCAACTTGGGCAAGCAGCTCTCCTTGGATACAGCAAGCACGCCCATATGCAGTTTGCCCATGATAGAGAGCTATACCTATGAGCTGCACAACAAAAGTCATGCACATCTCAGGTAAGGAGGTGCTCCCTGCACTATAGGCATCCGCAATCGACCTTCCTGAAGTTCAAGCGTAGATTGGCTTGTGTGGCAATAGCCAGGAACAAATTTGCCTCAGGCCAAAGAAGGGCTTGCACTGGGTAAAGGAGCAGTTTGGAAGGGGCATGCTCCCCGAGGGCCTTTCTCTCATCTGTTCTTCAGGAATTTGAATGCAACAGATTACAATGCAAATGCAGTACAATTGGGGCCCAGAAACAGACCTTACTCACTCAACCACAAAACCAAACCCCATCTAACCTGTCAGCGAGCCTGCCTGCTCAGTACTTCCCCTTCCAGCAGTCGGGGAGCTCTTCTCAACACCACCCCCACTCCCCCTTCTCTCAGGAGCTCTGGCACCATTACCTAAATGCAGTCCACCTGCAAGGACTTGGCCTGCACAGTACTTTAGCCGATAACTCCTTGACTGCTGGAAACCAGACAGAACCTGTTTGGGCATTATTTTTTCTTGGCTAATAACATGGTTTAATTCACCACTCCCGTCATGCCCCCAGTACAAAGCACGAGTGCCTGCTTTGGGTAGAGGGGTGTAGCTTGTAGCCGTGTTGGTCTAAGGACATAGGCAAGCAAGGTTCTTTGGGTAAATCTGATGCCTTTTATTAAACCAACTCAAATAGTTGGAAAAATTCGTCTTAGCAATTCTTCTTAGAAAGCTTGTTCAGAAGAATTTTTCCAACTATTTGAGTTGGTTTAATAAAAGGCATCAGATTTACCCAAGAGCCGTGCCTGCTTTGGGTAGAGGTTGAGAGTCAGGGGCCCACCTGCACAAAAACCCAGGCTCAGCCAGAGCATTTATTTAAGCATGTGGGCAAGTCTAGGTCAGAACTATATAAAACAACAATAAAACCCAAACCACTTCTTCATGTTGATTATTCCCGTTTTATTTGAAAGCAATGGGTGCTCTCAGACAGCGCATGGAACAATACCAAGGTTCGTGGCAAGGAAAGTCCACTGAAAATATGGCAAACAATAAAAGTGTGTACAAACTATTTACATGCTGGTGGCAAGAGCTGTGGTTTTCCCAAACTTAACTCCAGTGCCAAATGAATAGGCACCTAGGGAAGAAACCCTGGCAAGTAAAATCATTGAGCTCCTATTCAGCATAAACAGTGAGTGCCCTGGACAGAGCCTGGAAGAACTGATGGAAAGCTGCTGTGTTTGTTAAACATAATTTTCCTAGCTGCACTGTGCAGATACCCGAGGTCTGAAGCAGTGATAAGTTGGGGCAGAGATACAGCAGGTTTGTGTGAAAGAAAAACTGCTCCACAGCCGTGGAATCTGTGAAATAACACTTACTCCAGGATGAGGGCTTTGTTGATGGCTTTCAACTTCATTTTTTCCACCTGTGCTTGCACTCTCTCTCTGAGTCTGTTATTCTGAACTTGTGAATGCAGTTCCAGGGAGTCTTTCACTTCTCTGCAGGAGGTTGAGAAAGTCATTTGTACTGATAACAATGCTAGTACAATGCCATAAAATACTGATAAAGCCAAAGACATTCATGCCAAAGTATCACATTCACAACAGCTTGCATTTTTGAGGCCAGGAGATAATTTTCATGAAGCCTAAGTGCATTTTATGCGAGTATCTGAAGTGTTGAAATGTGTAACAAGAACTGTGTGCACTCTGCTAAGACAGTATCATTCAACACGGGGGCACAGAAGGGAATTGGTGAGTATTTATTCACCAAGGCGCCCCAGGGGGTTACAAGAAATAATGGCCACAAGCTAGCAGAGAGCAGATTTAGATTGGACATTAGGAAGAACTTCTTCACAGTTCGAGTGGCCAGGGTCTGGAACGGGCTCCCAAGGGAGGTGGTGCTCTCCCCTACCCTGGGGGTCTTTGCATCTACCGGGGGTCACCTAGCCCCAGCCCTCTTCCCTGCCTATGCAGGGGGTCGGACTCGATGATCTATTGAGTCCGACCCTAACATCTATGAATCTATGAATCTATGAATCTACTGCTCTCCTTAGTGTAAGAATATATCAGGAGCAATTTCAAGAGGGCATTTAAAAAAAAAAATGCTTACAGTAAGGAAACGAGTATTGTTCTAGCCCTGTTACCTCTCAGCTCCCTGTCATTGGGGAACCCTGGCACAGGACACAGCCTGTCTGACTCGCAAAGAATTCCCCCCACCTTATACAAAACTGATTAAGATGCAGTGGCAGACACGCCTAAAACCCTCCAGATAAGGGTGACAAGAGTGAAGCAACTGCCCTAGGTCTCATTTGCATCCGAGATGGAACCAGATGACCATTCATTTACATGGGAGATGGAGAACAGAAAGCCCAAAGCAAAGACTGCAGTGAATTCTGGGATCAGAGAAGCAGGGGAGTACTGCATGATGGGGAATCTGTGCTCCAAATGCTAATCAACCCACATTTACACACATGCAGCTCAGCATTTATCAGACCAGTTCTACTCTGGATTTACAAAGGACTTCCCCCGCCCCCACACATACACCTCTAAGCAGAAGTAAAGTTTAATAGGCATCTCGGGCCGTACGTTCCCCGGTCCCACTATGGGAGGCCTATTTAAACTTGATTGACTAAAACTCGGTTGTTGGGTTAGGGAATGTTGAGGCAAGAAACTGAGTCAGAGAGGGTACGGGCAATATTTGAACAATGGTAAATGGTTCATCACAGCATCCAGCCCATTGGAGCCCTAACCACAAGTGTTGTCATACTTTTCCCGGGATGACTGGTGGAAGTCCTCTCCACAAAAGGTTATGAACACCCCAATAATTGCCTTAAGTCTGTTAAAAGACTATAATAAGACTTGGAAAAGTCATGCTAAGCAGAGGCTTGTTCACAACAAGTAAAAATCCAAAACCCTGATGCTGCAAGCTATCTATTGTTTCTGAAGAAACCATGAGATATCCCATCAGTATATCTGCT